GACAATGTGAAGAACAGGGATGTGAAAACCTTGTGCTAGAGGACGCAATGTACTGTTGGCCCTGTGAAAAGAATCTACCAGAGTGCATAAGGGAAGGATGCCGAAGCTCAGTGCAGCATAGGTCAAATCGGTACTGTGATGTTTGCTTTAATAACATGAGCCCACCAAACACACCATCACCAACAGTTTCTCGAACAGTCAGAATGGGGCAAGGAGCGGGACCTCAACCAAACTTAGCAGGAACTAGTATCCAGGGAATAGGAAGAACTGCCACACCACCACCAAGACAACCGCCTAATTGGCAAACAACAGTCACACAACCACCAGGGGGCCAGCAGGGTATAGTTGATCCATTCATCACGGTTATTAGGTCATCTTCCCCACCAATTCTACCAATTACACAACCAATTGCAATACCAGTACCCACTACACAACCACAACCACCACCACCACAGCCAATAGCTCCACAACCAATGCCGCCACTAGTACCATTTCCACAGCAACCACCAGTGACTACCCAACAGCAGCAGTTGCCATTACCAATACCACCAGTTACAGTGGCAAGCACTCAACCAACACAACCACCACCAGGGCAACCACCAGTGGGAGGAACATTTGGGTCCGGGCTGGGGATAGGAGGACCACCACCACCAATATGGACACCACAACCACCAGTACCACCCCCACCAGTACAACAACTCATACAAGGAAACAACCAACCACCACAACCACAACCACAACCACCACCAGTGAATAGTGGTAATGGGCCAGTGGGCAACAATAATAACCAGCCACAACCCCACCTATTCGGAGGAGTGCCACCACTGCCACCAAATAATAACAATAATCAACCGCCACCACTAAATATTGGAGGGGGATTACCCTTCTTCCCATTACCACCATATGGCAGAGGAGGAGGAGGAGGAACAGGAGGCCCTGGAGGACCAGGGGGACCAGGACCAGGCGGAATGGGTGGAGGAGGAGCAGGAGGACCAGCACCACCAGCGGGAGATTTAGTTAATGCACTAGTAAACCTGGCAAATAGAATGGATCGCCCAAACAGAGGAGGGGAACAAAGATTAGTAGAGCTACCTAAATTCAATGGAGATATTGATGACCCATACCAATGGTGGAGAAGCTTTAATGAAGCATGTGAGGCAAATAATATTTCTCTGGAAAGAAGACTGCAAATAGTACCAACATGTTTGAAGGGACAGGCTGAAGTCTGGAGGAAGACACCAGGCTTAGTTATTCTAACATGGGATGGATGGCCAGGAACTTATGAAGAGACAGTCAGCTTTAGGAAACAATTTTTTGACTATTTTAGCACAACACAACATCAACAAAAATGGATGAATGAACTAAGGAATCGACGAATGAAAGAAGGGGAAACTGTGGACGCCTATGCAGGAGCATTAACTGAACTATACATGAAAGCAGACCCATTGGGACAATACCCCGAAAGTGATAAATTACAAGCATTCCTAAATGGACTACCAAGTCAAATAAGAATGTTCACCGAGTTAGCAGTACCCAGGGGATTCAGAGAGGCTTGGGAACAAGCAAAGAAAGTGGAAAGCACCTTAAGAAAAGATAACCCCTTTAATAATGATAGTCTTCAACACATCAACACATTAGTAGCTACCCAAGTAACACAACTAGGACAGAATGTGAATGCACTAGCCATGGAAATCAGAGAAGGTCGGAAATGTAACCTTTGTAACCAGCCAGGACATGAAGCCATAAACTGTAATCAACGAACCATGAACCAATGGCCAAACAGGAAAAGTAATGAGCAACCAGGGGAATGTTTCCACTGTAATAAAACAGGACATTGGGCAAGGAACTGCCCAGAAAGAAACAAACGAGCAAAATGTTACAATTGTGGAAAAGAAGGCCACATATCAAGTCAATGTAAGTGGCAACCAGTGGCAGTAGTACAAAGACAACAACCGCAAAAACAGGGAAGGAATTACCAGCAAAGAACTAATAACAATCAGCAACAGCCAAGAAGAGTCCTATTGAACCAAGAATACCATGAGGAGCAACAAGAACCACAATATTATACTGAATATCAACCACCAGTATACTATCAAAATCAACAACCCATACAAAACTACCAACAACAATACCTACCACCTCAACCTATACAACAACAGCCACAAACAGATACATTTGGAGCTTTAGCTACAGCTGTGCACCAGCTAACTTCTAAACTCGAAAATTTAAGAATTGTACACAGTTGGAAGCAATATTTGGAATGAATAAGTCCTCTATGAAAACTTTATTGAAGTTGTAAAAAGATGGACGAAGGTGGTTTTGTAGTTTTTTACAAGGTAAGAACCAGCAATCTAAAATGATGTAAAGGTATAGGTGTGGCAATTAAAAAATTACGAAAGATTCTTGACAAAAGATATCTTTTTATTATTTGACTATATACGATATATATTTATTATTATTTTCACACAATATTAATGCTATGATAGTTTGAAAACATATTTGATCTTTCAATTTCCTATTATTATTAAGAATTTATGACAGTTCACAAGATCCAAAGGCCAAAAATATATTATGGTAATAAATTATGTGTCTGCGAATTTATTTGAAAAAAGAACTAAAATGGAAAAGAGAACACTGATTTTCTATATAATACTACTTGAAGGTTATGTGACATTAATGATGACAATTTGCAACGTTGTGATTTTCATAGTGTTAGTGTCCTTTATTATTATGGTTTGGAATTATAAATTCCAATAAAATTTAATGTCATCGATAAAATAATAATAATAAAGATATAAACGCGTTGCCAGAAGTGTAGTGTAAATAGTCTTGGACAAAAAAGTAGATATTCATAATTAATGTATCTGAAATATCAACAGGTCAGCAATCAGATCCACCATCTTTTATCGATGATGTGCAAATTTTCTGCAAATAAACCAAAAAATTTCATCTAGCAAATAAGTCAAACTTGGTTAACATCACGACCGTCTACTAATAATGTGAATACGATATTATAATGCCTTGTCCAAGACATTTCTTGTTTATAATAATTTATTAATTATTTGAAGTTCTCCATATAGATAATTGGAGTAATCAGTCATTGCCCAGGATTTGCTTGTTTTATTTCTAACTTTTGAGTTTTAGGCCACCACGCGGACCTTTTCTTCATAAACTCTTAAGCAACACCTTGTTATTTAATTAATTCAGATTTTGGCTTTGAATCTATTTTTAGGAATTGGATTATGCTCTATTTGCTTAATTTTTTGTTTTTTTTTCAATCAAATAGACAAATTTTATTCCTTTTTCTTTTACGAAGATTGTCGAGAACCGATCCTGTTCTAATATTTTAATTATTTAAATTAGCCCTTTGAATTTTTGATTAGATATTAAACGCTTTAATCTAAATTCCCAATTGGTTGATGGGATCATTTCTTTTCAGCATTCACATAGTTGCTTGAGATAAGTTGGTACAGTTTGTTTAGTCTTACCAAGTGTTTTTTGTTTGATCAATTTCACTCTTAAATCTACTAATTATTGCTCGTTTTCATCTTGTTTTACCAGGTAATTTTTTTTGGACCATCGGAAGAATTAACAAGTCTATTTAAATAGTAAGTATGGCTTGAATTTGTAGCCCAAGGATTAATTTTATTAATTTGGATTAAACAACTAGATCAATAAATAGTTTTCTTTGAAGGAACCTAGTCATGTGATATCTAGCAACATTGTTTTTCGAAGAAATTTCAGGGCATTTTATTGAAGAGTCAGCCTTAAGTTTATGTGTATGCTTCTTAGAGAAATGGTTTTATAATCATTTAGATTTGAGTATGACCTTGAAACAACATCTGCACCATATGACTTATTTTATCTATTCCGAAAGGGAAAAATCCATTTTTTATAATAAAGAATTAATACTGTCTGTATCGTATTTAGAAATATAAATAAAGGGTTGTAGAATAATTTATCACTTAAGAAGGGTTGAAAAGGGTTCAGAATCAAATATGAAAACCGAGAATTCGCTCTTTCAATAAACACTTCGATTTAGTAGATTAACAATACTAATTGTCTCAAACCACTGTAATCATTAATAAAAGTCTTTATACGAATTACCATCTATTGTATAAACGTCCAATCAAAGAAATGAACTATTACAAGAAGCAATAGTTAATTTAGCCGAGTTCATAATAATACTATAAATGATTGACGCAACTGTTTAGAAGAGATATAAGATAATAATAATTTTAGTGTACTGCGCATTCTTGTTATACGAATCTGTCAATTAAATATCTATTATCGAACGACAAGTGATTCAATAACTTGGTTGTTAAGAAAATATTTAATTTATTAATATAATCACAAATTAAGGAATATATCCCGCACTATTTCGCCAATGTATAGTCAATCTTTGATCTTTTTTGTACAAATCTGCCACTTTGGTATTTGAAGGAAGATATGGTATCATTTCATTACTATACTTGGCTCTTTTTATTTTTTTTTTTTTGGCAATTCCATTATTGTTGGACATAATCTATTTTGATGTTCCTTCCCATAGTGATACCAACATGAAATTTCTTCTTGATTGGCTTGGCATGCTTTGATACAAAGAAGCCAAATTTTGTGCCGTAGTTTCAAAAGTATTTTCTCTAACATTTAAACTTTTTTTACTAGTTTCTTGGTCTTCTTCTTCTTCTTCCTCGGTAAATGCAAGCAATTCTTGCGTCAAACCCTTATCCTATTCGAAACATTTTGGGTAATGGGTGTTTGTTTTTGCGCCGATTCTTGAATAATGGATACTTGACACTGATATAACATTTCGAGAAGAATATCTGACTTTCAATAATTCTATCTATGATTTGATAGAACTGACGTTTTTTCAAAATCTTCATATTTTGTTGAGTATTTTATTTTGACAAACTGCAAATCTATTTGTGACTTAATTTAATCATCTTTACGGATTGTTAAAAAATTGGATCAACACTAATACTAATGTAAAATATTGCGGCTGCAACAGCCAGGACCTCGGATTATTATAATTGACGTACAAGTACGGTCGGCAATTGTTGTATCCATTACCAGCTTAAAGGCATGACAATCCAAAGGGGTCGATCGTGAAATTCATGGTGTGCGAGCATATTCTAACACACTTTGTCGCGATCTTAATGCTGCGTTGAACATCCTTCAAATGTTTTAACAGAAACATAATGATTATTTCCGGTTTACATGAGGAATGGCAGCTGTATATAACAAGAAACCCTTTTGATAAATCTTTTAAATATTCTTAAATAATAAACTCTTTTAAGTAAAACTCTTTTAATTTCTTTTGTGATCAAGGTGCATTATACCCTCCGTATCTCTAATTCTTTTTTCTTTGAACCGAATTTCTTTATATCATAGGGAACAACCAGGTATTAAAGCTGCAGCTTGAGCACCACCATTTTTTTCACCGCCATACTTGCATACTGCAGTTGCATTAGATTTATTGCAGCAATGTGATTGAGCATTCTTTTTTGAGTATTTAATTTTTTTTACTTGCTTCAGATAAAAATGGTGTTTTTTTAGAAAAAGTTTTGGCATTAATTGAACATTTTTATAATAATAATATTTAAAATAAAGTATTTTTATTGGGAAGTGTTCTGTTAATTCTGATTGGTTAATTTATGACAAATGACAAATGATGATCATAGTAATAGTATATGGCCATTGATCATAATAGTCATATGACCAAGTCATTTACAACAAATGACAAATGACCAATGACTACATGTCATATGACTAAATGACTTGGTCATTTGTCATAAAGGGTATATGACCTTGTCATATGCCAACACTGCCAGGTACAGTATTTATGCAACTTTTCTCGATGTACTTGTTATGAAATATATGGCCATAGTAAATCTATTTTTAGTAGGAATGAAAATCCTTTCATTGCAATCCAGGCACAGATTTTAGATGATTTCATTAATAATATTCGATGCAAGGTTTGAGAGATAATCAAAACCAACAGTTGTTAGAGTTTATTCCTATATTAACACTACCACTACCATATCATCTTATTCTTGTTCTCCTGCTATTGTTACTGCTATTGCTACCGCTGCTTGCTATTGCTACTGCTACTAAACATGTTAGCTCTCTTAGTAAATGATCGTCGCCGAATCCAAAATGCCGAAATTTACTAAATAGCCGAAAATTCTGGGTAGTTTTTTTATGACTATTGATATGAAGAATATTGTAAATCCGAAATTGCTTGCCGGAATTGATTTTTTCACAATCCATTTCGGCTAACATCCTTAGTCAATATTCCATTCAATAAAAATTACATGCAATTTTCCTTAAATATGTAATATAAATGATAGCCTTTATTCATAATATGGTAAGGAATTACCTGTAATTAAATTGTATATAAAATAGTATAATAATTCCACAAAGAAATATCTCTTTAGGTATTGACATATTAGAGATGTCACGTGTTTAAACAACAATCCATGCTTGATTTTACATCTAATGGAAGAGTCTCATCTGTGATTGTATTGGAAAAAAGTATTTTGAAGTTACTATTTAAATTCCTTTGCTTCTAATAGAAGTTCATGAAAATTATTTCATTAGTGAACTATATGTTTTTTTTTCATCTTACATATAATTACAAAGTTTATCTGAATATTATTATGTGAATTTTTTGTGTATAACTAACATTTATAAATTTATAAATGCGGGGAGGAGTCAATCCAGATTGAACATCTTTGGCATGACCTAGAAACACGTTATTTTCTACCTAAATTCCTTCTTACAATAATTTTCTGATCGCATTGGTCTCTATGGAACCTCAATTATTGATTTATAAAATGTTAAACGTCCCCCGTGCTTCTTAAGTCGGCAATTTTTTGCCGAGAAAAGGTTTATTAGTTTTTTTAATAATCAAGCTTAAAATATTTAGGGCCAAATCTCCTAATTTTTATAGCCAGCATAGACATTTGCTATAGTAATAATAATAAATGCATGACATCGTTAAATATTTCCGGCCAACATTTTAAATGAAATGAATTAGCATAAACAAGTTATTCGAAGAAGTGTCACTCTTTTAGAAACCAAAAAAAGAGCTTGCCGTAATTGTTTCAATTTTTGTTTTTTGTTTTTATACTCTCAGTAATTTCATTTCTCATCAACCATCCAAGTGTAATAGTAATAAAAATGCCCGGTGTCTCCTTTTTTAGAAGCCTTAGACAAGATGTTATATAAAACTTATATAAAAAGAAAGCTGACGGGTTGTTTC